GAATGGCCATGGGGGCTCCCCCAGAGCACCGAGGCAGCTGCAAGCACCCAGTGAAGCTCCAGCCTGTACCTGTCTGGCAGGGCGAAGCTGGAGGCTACCACTAGGTTCTGACAGAAAGAGTTCAGCAGGAGATCGACGACCTGGGGGAGAGGGTCATTGAGGGCATGGCCGCAAGGCAGCACAGTAGCTGACGATGCAACGTGTGCACCCAGGACACCGAGGCGGGGCTCTGCTGAGCCAAGGAGAGGCCCCGGTCTGGACCAGTTGCTACAAGACCCCATTCCCATACCCTGGGCATGTGACAGGCCAAGTGTGGCACATGATGCCATCATAGGGCTTCACAGCAGATCAGGGTCAGGGCCCTTTGTCTGGAAAGGACCGAAGACTAAGTATTTAGGCTTTGAGGCCACCAATGGCTTCTGCTGCATGTTCTTTTTTTGTATTTTTTAATTTAAAAAATTTTTGCTATCATTAATCTACAACTACATGAAGAACAAACACTATGTTTACTAGGCTCCCCCCCTCACCAAGTCCCCCCCCCACACACCCCACTATAGTCACTGTCTATCAGTGTAGCAAGATGCTGCATGTTCTTTTTAAAAAATTTAAATAAGAGTTTGGGCACAAACAGGGCGGGCCGGTGGGCCCTGGTCAGAGTCCCCTCTGCTCCTGAACGTCCTGCTTCTACATGCAGTCCACCTGTCATAAAGCTGCAGTGCAGAGGGCTCTCCCTTCAGTGCCCAGGCATGATCCAGAAACATGCGACAGCCCGTGACTTGGCGTCCTCACCCACCTTTTGTTCTGCAGCAAGGACGCCATCACCCTCATGGAGACCCAAGGCAGAGCTGAGCCTTTCAGAAATCACTGCCATCTGAGCAGACAGAGCTGCAAACAGAGATGCCCAGTTAGAGAGCGTGTGCCACAGGTGCATGGGGGAGCTGCCTGCTGCTATCCTGGGGCGCGCTCCTCCAGGACCAGGGCTGCCCGGGTCACCACTGCAGCTAACCGCTGCTTAGGTAGGAGCATCCGCCGGCCCCAGAGCTCTCATGCCCATTGCCAGGTGGGGAAAAGTAGTCTCCCTAAACAGCAGGTGGCAGTGATGAGACCTGGCAGGCGTGAGCCGGAGGCATGCCCACTGCCAGCCCCTGGATCATCAGGATGTCTCTCCACCACAAACCTCCACTTTTTATCTATATTCTCCACCCGAAGTCACATGCCAACTCTCCCATGTTATTGTAACTGTGGCTGGAGGCGCCGCATCCCAGGCACCATCGGGCCAGCCAACAGCCAAGAGCCACAGCCTCCGGGGGCCGGAGGGCGAGCAGTGAGCAGGCGGCCACACCACTTGGAAATAGAATCTCTGCTGCTTTTTAGAAACACGACTGACTTTCAGTAACCTGATGAAGGCCCGGGGTTCTCCCCCAGGCCTCGATGTCCCCAAACACTAAGTCCTGCAGGAGCTCAGC